CTTGTGTCTGGCACGAACTGTAACCACCTCTGTTTCTTTCCCGCACCTAGCCTGGAGATCATCATGAGTTCTACACTGTGACATACAATTGGCTTTTGCTACATGACAATGGTCCCATGACCCTTGAGGTTATCCAGTCTCCTCTAGTAAACTGGAGAACTGCAGGAATACTTTCCTTTGTGGCACAGTAACTAAATATTACTCTGCCTGTTAGCAGCAACACTGTGCCAAGGATTTGTTTCACTCTGCTTGTCACTTGCACTTGGAGAGAGGTTTGCAGAAGGATCAAATCTGCGTGTCTGATGAACTCCTGCACATCAGCAACAGGAATAAGGCTCTGTGCTTATGCTCTGCCAAGTTTGTGAAGTGGCAATTTGAAAACATAAGGGAAAAGCAAAATCCAGTACTGTCCTGCTTAACAGTACAAATCACAATTTTGAAGCAGCATTTGATTGGAAGCATTGTATCAAGTTTTCTAGATAAGACAAAGCCACAGAGTGAGCAGCTTGTGTGCCACTGCTGCTGGCTGCTCTGTATCATCCTTGTGTTTAGACAAATAACCTTAAGAACAGCATCACCACCATGTATTCCTGCTAATCTCTACTTTTCACAGCACTGATTGCCCTGCAGTATAGCTGAATTCTTTAGTTTTCTGGGTTTTTTTGTCCATTTGGTGCCCAAAGAAGGGAACAGAGAGATGACAAAATTTTGAATAAAGCACACTCCAATGTGCCTGCCTGACAGCAGTTTTATTATCTCACCATTCCAGCCACAACCAGTTAAATACAAAACCAACTCACATTCCTTCTTTACACACTCAGAAAAGGAAATCCACATGTTTATATTCAAAATCTGCATTTAAATAAACCAGTGGTCAAATCTTGCCATCTTATGTTGTCTGCAATGCCAAATTTGTATTTGCAGAAAACTTTCCTCTTCCCCCATCCCACTGCTCCCACAACAACCTTACTGCAGGCTCTTCCAAGATGACAGGCTTGTCCATCGGTGCTGAGACTCAACCATTACGCTGTGCTGGTGCTCTCCTTACACACACACTGATCTTCTGAAGCTTACAGCTGAGCTTCAATGCTCACTGCAGCTGCAGCTTGACATACAACACCATTCCCAGACAAACCAAAGAAAAGTTATGACTGTTTCTCAGCTGTGGGACATCAGGAGTTGATTTATGCTGGTTGCAATTTAACTTTCAACCTTCACACTAAGATCCCTTCCCACCCACTTTAAATATTCTGTAGTGAAGTTTTTTTTACCCTCCAGTGGCCATTTCTCACGGCGCTGCCTTCCGGCACCTTCCTACCATACCTGTGGGTACTTAAGCAGAGCCTAACTTTGCAAACCCTCCCTTGGGAGAGATCCTGCAAAAGTTGTTCCAGTGATTCCACTGCCAGTAGACAGCCACTTCCAAGGCTCGGTAACACCCTTGTTCTTCCCATGGAATCTGTGTGTGGAGGTCTGTATGTAGCAACACTCAGTTCTTTACTCTGGTCTTGGCTCGTGCAAACAGACTGATCAACAGTGTTTTATGTGTTAGATGAACTCCTTGCAAAAAAGTCCTTAAAAATAAAACAGAAGGAATGCTGTGGTACTGTATTACAGTATTTTAGCTCTCAAAAATGTTGCTGTGTTGTTTTAGGCTAATGTTCTAACATCACAGATGTTCCTTTTCTTAAAATGGAGGGAATGATCAGAGCACCATTACTCTTAGCTGGGAATTTATTATCAGGTCTTTATTTTTTAAAAGAATGTAGAATTTTATTCTTTGGCAGACAACGTTTTTCATTTGATAAGAGCATAAAAGCTGGCATGCAGTGTGGTTTCCTTTGCTAGTCAAAAAACATACCTGCACATTCAATTTAATTGTATCACATACTGAAAGGAGGAAAAATTCCATGGCTTGAATTCACAGATGTATGCTCCAACATTTAAAATTTGTGGCTTTGCTCATGTGTTTATGCTACAATGTACCATTTTACATCCTAACACTCAACTGATTCATCAAAAATCCACGATAAAAGAACTGCAAAGAAACTGGAATGCTTTAAATACACCATCAGGTTTATGTACTTCAGTTCTGCCAAGCTACTTCTCTACATACAAGTAGAGAACATTTGAGATACTTGGACTTAGCCTTGCATCACCAACAAAATTCGTGTGGAAGAGAAGTAAATTGAACAGAAACAAAAAATGGCACAATTTGTCATTGTCACTTGAAAATTAAGACTCAAATTTATTTTTTTTTCCAGAATGCTGCATTTTAACAACAGTTGATTCTCTCTTTAGTGTGAAAGCACTGATACTTCACCTACATTGTAACATCACTCTGACTACCGAAGTTTTTATGCCTGGCCATGAAACACCATATCAAATAAAAATGCAGTATATGGAATTAAGTTGTTTCTCTCCTGGATGAAACTTCTACTCAGCAGCCACAGAACACTGGACAATGTACTTCAATGTACTGACTGCACATCTCAGGTGAGTCAAACAATTCAGACCTCAGCTCACACCTCCGGATAGCTTGGGAGATGGAATAACCCAGGAGCAACCTGCTCCAGTCTTACTGCTCAAGTATGACTTTCAGGGCATGCCCTGTGCCATATCCAGCCCTGCTCTCTTGGGTGGAAGTCCAGCGTCCTACCCACAGCCTCTGTGTCCAGGCAGGAAAACCAGTGTAAGCAAGAGGACTATGGCACCAGGAAGAAATGTGCAAGTTTTATTTTTGAACATCATTGGATTGAAAAATAAAGAATCATATGGCTTATTGATATTTCAGGAGATAGTAGTGAATAAGTTAAAGAAGATTTCATTCCAAAACATATGTTGCTTCATTTATAGCTAAGCTAATGTAGACACATATTTTCTTATTTTTGTAAGTGTTGAACAGCCACCTTTTCCCCCCTCCCCCCCACAAAGATCTCAAAGTTGGCACTTTCTAAAAAGCTGTTATGGACTACAAGCTTACAAATAGTGATTTTTTTTTTAATAAGAAATATTCTTCAGACCCAAATATAATTATTTAAATCAACTTCTTCCTGAGCAACTTAGAATTTGGAATGTGCTGAAAAGTTTCAATAAATAAATCAAAGATTTACCAGCTTATAACGTACCTTTTAAAAGTTAAGCAGAATATATTTAATGACAGAGAAATAGGCCATAGGACCAGGAATATTAGATGCTATGTGCCAGATAAATTTAAGAACTACCATTTGAGGAGGAGAGGCCAGGTTGATTGTTACGAAAATACAACAATATTAAAACCTAGCAAGTAAATCACGAAGCAGCTTCTGTATTCAGATTATAAGTAGTGATGGCTGAAGATACCATTAAATAAACAAACAGATAGAAAAAGACTTTACTGTAAGCGGCAGTGAACTCTCAGGATGGGTGAATATGTTAAGTGACTATATTCTGTTAAAACGTTGGCAGAAAAAACAGAATTTCAGAAACATGAGAATACTAGTTCTTTCCAAAATATAACAACTCCACAGTGTGTAAACTAATCATTACTCTTTCAATGTAATTTCATAGAAACCACTTAAAATATACAATGCAGCAGATTCATATTTTAGCTAATATGTTAGTTACTATCTGTGTCATTTTCACCTTTCTTTAATGTGCTCCCCCACAGTAGTGCATTGCTACCATCAACCTGGGACGTTAATAATGAGAACAGAATCTTCTTCCTAGTATTTTCTGTAAGTTAGCATCTTGTCTTAACTCTCCTTTATTTTCATTCTCTGTGTACAGGAAAAGACTGAGGGGTGAAGAAGATCGACCATAATTTCTATTGGCTCTCAGCAGGCTCATGGAAGAGGAAAGCCTTGGAAAGCCCATTTGAGCTGATCCTGAGTTTTTACACTTCATCCATCACAAAATAACTTTTGCTTCATGTAGCAAACCAAAGTACGACCTTGCAGATGGCAGCCATGGAATAGGAACCAAAAATTTTCTGGTAGACGTTTGAGAAAGGATGTGAGATAGACAGAGGTGGATTGTCCTCATCCTGGCAAGCAGCTGCAACATCTTGTACCTGCTTCTTTCCTGTGCTCTGGGGACAGGAATTTATTGCTCTTATTCCCTATTAGTCCAACTTTCTCTGGCAACAATGGTGCATAAGAGGCCAAGGCCTCATCCAGACCCCAAACTCTCCCCTATTCTGCTGTGTAGCAGAAGGCCAGGACCTGTGGGTCTGTCACTTCTGCACCTCCAGGGCTGGCAGGCTGGCCAACAGCCAGCACACATCACAGGGAATGCCACTCCAGGGACACCCACCTGAATAACAACAGCACCTCACACAGCAGTGCTACTTCTCTTTCACCAGCTTCCACCGATCCCTTTTCTAGTGTTGGCAGATAACATTTGTAGTGATTAACAAGGGCAACTTTCACAGTGGCTCTTTCAAACCTATCACTGAATCGGCTTTGGTTTCAGAGAGTGCATCTTCTTGAATTTGTTTGATGATTCTGAACTATTTCAGCTCGAGAAGCTGTGTATGCTCATATTGTTAATTTTCCTTCTAGCCACACTAAAAGCAGGAGTTTGGTGTTTGTGCTGGTGGGGAAGCTGTGTTCAGATTCAGATGTGAACAATTAAATTCTGCAGTTGCACAAATACAGGTCGTGCTTAATAGGAGCTCTGATCACCTGAGCTTTTTAATGAGTAGCTTTTTTTGCATATCTTTGGATTTGTGACCCAAAATAATAACAAAAATCTAAAAATACCATTCTTGAGCATAAACCCCATATGTTACACCTTTTCCTTTAGTGTGCGATAGAAACATACTCAACTGCTGACATAAAGCTCTTCCTGGCACTTTAAATTTGTTGTTGCCATTCACTGACCTGGTAACATTTCCCACTCTGTGAACTAGAAGGCTTTACCAAAAATATCTGGTTCCTGCATCTTGCCTTACACTCACTAGAGCTGATTTGGCAGAACAGCAGCCCTGCTCCTCCAGCACAGGTAATTAAGAATTTTACCAAAAATATCTGGTTCCTGCAGCTTGCCTTACACTCACTAGAGATTTGGCAGAACAGCAGCCCTGCTCCTCCAGCACAGGTAATTAAGAAGCTGTTACCTAGCCTCTTTCTGAGCCTGTTATCCTTGGATTTGAAGACAAAGCAATGGCTCTGACCATACCACTGGGATATCAGTGTGCTTTGGACAGAAAGAGGCACTCTTCCCAAATGGCTAACTGCCTGTAGTTCATTAGCTGGTAGTTCATGCCACAGTATTAGGTCACAAAGACTTGTTTCCGGTCAAAGAGAGAGATGAGAATCTGTAAAATTTGCTTTTCAAGAATGCCTATTATTTTGTATTTTGCAGTTCAAAAATACCGTGTATTCCAAAAGTTATTTTGTGACAGATGGTAGGTACTTCTCTCCTGAACTACGCTGTAGCAAGGATGCTATAGAGCCAGCACTGTATAATGAATCAAACCTGCAAAATCAGGTATCTCCCAATGGCTCCAGCATGTGGGAATGGTCTCTTCTGTTCCATTTCAAATCCGCTGCGCATTAACTCAGTTCCTTAAGGAATTACTTTTAATAATAATTAAAAAAAAAATCTTAAGAAAGCTGGAGGGGTCACCAGAAGAGAAAGGATAGCTCTTCCATCCATCACCTTTTATAGATATCCTCTAGCCACTTTTCATCATCTTCTTCCTCATCATTTATTGGTTCTTCTGTTTCCAGGGGAGAAGGAATGAAGAACTCAGGTCTGGGACTTGGTTTCCTGATATGAGACTTCAGTCCAAACTTGCGCTTCAGCAGGTGGAATTGTTCTTTAACATAGTAATAAAACTCATATTCATATCTCATGCGTTGGTAGAGGATCTGTATTGCTTCTGGAGAGGGGACGGTCTTTTTCACTGTCACAGTCAGATTGCCAAGTTTCCTATGCTCTGTAAAGAAAGAACAACAAGCAACATGGGGGGTGCTGATTAGTAGTGAGACCAGATGTAAACGTTTTAATTTAAGCATTAAGGCATGGCCCTGCTACATTACTGATAGAAATGAGTTCAAGTTGTCTCTAATAATGGATTTACTTTTAACAAGATATGAAAAAAGACAGATGTTTGAAGTCAGACTTGCATGTTTAAATATGGCTAGTTCACACATGTCCTGTCTGCAGTCACCAAAGACCCTAATTGTCAATGGTTACCTGAAAATGCAAACCACGTCATATGAGCTATGAGCATGAGCTACACGTAGAGAAACCCACAATCTTGCCTAGCTTCGGAAATTTGACGTCAGGCACGCCACCGAGCTTAACTAATCAATTATTTCCTATGTGGCATATGGTGACCTGTCTCTGCTGTGCTCTATTATAGTTCAAATCTAAACAGATACTTGTGAACCTGAATCCATCTCAGGGTAGCACCGAAGGACTGTTAGCATCACCACATGACACCTTAGGATCAACTGTGCCGGTTAACTTCCTCATCCTGTTATACCTGTTAATGGAACTAGACTCATCTTCTTGTCATGCCCTGGAAGATTTCACTACTTTTTGGTTCACCTGACAACTTTTGCATTGGTAAACTAAAATACAAACCTTTTATTGATGATAAGGAATTAGAGTTACTAACAAAAATACTGAGTTGTCTCTTTGCCTTCTCTCTTAATGAATGAGTCTATCACTGGAGATGACTGTATTTAAATGTATTGAAAGCAAAATCTGAAGGCAATAATTTTGCTCTTTTCTAGATGGCAACTGGCTGCCAGAGCATCCTAAGTATTTTCATCTTAAGTATATAACATGGGAACCTAATTCTTATTGTAACAGCAGTTCTTCAAGTCAGAAGTATTCAAAAAGGTCAGGCCATGAAGGAAGCAAAGAAAAAGCTCACATGGAGGAAGCAGACAACAAAGAACATTAAATGTTTCCAGCTGGGTTCCAGTGGCAGCAACCACCCTCACTTCCAGAGGGAGTCCCTGAATCAAAATGTGATTTTACCATGGGTAGAGTTTTGCTCATGTAAGCAGAACAAATGGAGGTCTTCTGAAGCACCTGACAGTGAAGCTTAACAAATGCTTAACATCTCTACAGAGAAACAGATTTTCACAATTGCTTACACATAAAGCTAAGCAATGCAGCACTGGTTCCTAGCAGGAAAAGTTCTTGGGATTCCACAAGCTATATGGTTATCCAAGAGAAATAATCAAGAATAGCTTTTTAGGGAAGAGAGGAACTTTAAACAAAGACAAACCCTTTTATCCCAAGAGGTAATAAAATACTAATAAGTCCATTTAGCAAGCACAACAGCAATGATCTTTAGACAAAAAGTTGGTACAAGATTTTAAATCCTGGAAAGTACAGCAGATGGGCAGAGCACAGCATTGAACATGAACTGCTTTCTTTAAATTTTAAAAGATTAATATTCATATAGATTAAGGTACCCACACTTGTAAAAAACCCTCAATTTTCAGATGGGGAACACACATTTTCCTCCTTCAGAATAAAAGAATTAGAGAAAAACAACTCAGAACATTTTAATAATACTACATGAGGCAAGTGCTGCTGGGCTGGACATCCTTTTAAACACTGGACTTCACTGTGTCACTCCCATCTGGTGCAGAAGAAAAAAGTTATATCTGAAATATCTGTGTCTGAAACAGTTTTGTTTATCAACTGCAGCAGAGTAACTTGAAACACAAGAAGAATGATACAAAGAGAAGACATGTTGACTAGCTTACTCAATGCAACACTGTTTTAAATTACAAGAAAAATATTTATAGCATTAATTCTATTTTACATCTACACTTTTAATTCCTTCTCTAAAGGAAGAATGTTTTTTATTAGTTGGTAACTATTAAAACATACTACTTTGTAATTAAATGGAACTTTTACACCAAAGTTAGTGGTTCTTTACACTGAAATCTCTTTCTACTCATATATATAAGTAATTAAACAACGGAGTACACAGAGTCCTCTGTTCTTTAATTACAGTGATGCAAGGCAAAATATGCTCTATATTTACTGACTGTTTTTCAATTTGCTGTTTTATTTAGATAGTCGTGAAATTATTAAAATATACAAAAAAGGCAGGATGAGAGATGCAATTTTCAACATGCTATTTAGCTAAGAAAAAGTGTAGAGGAAGGATCAGGAAATGCTTGAATTTCAAACAGACAATGGCATAGAAAGCAGGACCTGTGGTTAGTGCATAGCGTGAAATATTTTTGGTGAAAATTTCTGGGTTCCCCAAGAGCTTATTCCCTTCTGCACCACCTTCAACCATAACAGAATAACAAATAACTCATCTTGTTAAATTTTAAGTCAAGTTACCTTTAAATTGCTATTGATGGGTATGAGATGACTACATTCCAGAAAGGCCAATATATTCAGTCTGTCCTTGGGTGAGAAAACTTCCTTATGATTACTGAGCACTTCAAGACATTCCTCCTTATTGTGCTTAACTGATAGCTCCTGCCAGCTTTGTAGTCTGGTTTTCTTTACAAATTCAGCAGCAAATATACACTACTAAATATTGCATTTATTAGCTTAAGCCTTTATACTGCCTGCCAACTTTGTTTTTATTTTACGTAAGTTATTTCTGCTACAGCAAACTCCATTTAGCTCTCTGGAAAAAGCTCTTTACTTATACAGTCCTGGAGGGACTGTAAGTGGGGAAAGCCACTTTCACAGCTCCAGCTCCCTTTGGTGGCTGCTCTTCCAGCAGAGAGAGGCACTTGTGCTTAGCCCAGGAGTGCTGCCAACGAGGACAAGGTGAGAAGCACGAGACTGTTTTCTTTGGGGGTTCTGGTTTGTCTGCGGGGGCAGCAGCAGCAGCCAAAGGCACTGTCCTACTGGCGTGCCAGGCAGGGAGCAGCCCGGTGCTCCGTGCCACCCTGGCAGCACAATACATTCCTCAGAATTTGCTGTTGCAGTGGCACAGGGGTTTCTGGATGTGTGCAATTCTCTGCTCTGTTCACACACCTATGGCTACAGAAGTACAAATCCGAACAGACAGAAACAGCCACACTCGGGAAGGCTGCAGGGGCTGTGTAAATTTTCTGGCTCCTGTTTGTTTGCCTTGCAGCACAATCATCGGAACTGCAGAGCATGAAGAGCTGTGAGGTTTGGGCTGTTGGGTGGTGTGAGCTGGGTCTGTGCCTGGCTGCAAGCTCAGCCTTTTGATAAAACAACTGAACTCTGCTATTTTTTGTACTTGAACTTTATTTAGACTACGTTTTAATCTCAAAGACTCTTAAAAGGATCTCTAATACAAATATGGATGAAATCACAAAACTGCCCCTTGAAGTCACCTCAAGCACCTCTTCTCATCATAGAAGCAAAATGGAAAATTAGGTAGATCTGGCTTAAAGCCAAAATACCAATCTGCATATGCTACATAAACCATGCTGCCCCACCAAAGGACCCCCATTTTATGACCTTTGAGACAGCTAACCAGATGGAGGGCAACAAACTATACCATTTACTTCTTAGGGTTATTTTTAAAAAAAATGTGTTTGCTTTGGCATTATTTTAAATTACGAGAAGAATGTACTATACAGTAATGCACCTCCCAGGGCAGCCTGCTCATACCTCAAATTAAGACTAAACTGGTATGCAGATAGGAATGAAGAAAATTAAATTCTTTTGGGTTACCACTTGATGAGTGTTTACTGTTACTTTCCACACTCTCACTTTCTTTTTTTTTTAACTAAGAAATGGACATTACTCACTGCAGCAATTCAAACCATAGGGAAAAGTGAGTTTTATAACTTGTGGCTCCAAAAACCCTGAATTGCCATATTTAGACAAAATGATCCTAAAGGCATTCTCCACCTCAGAAGAAACTTTCAGAACTATGTGCTCTCCAGTGTCCTGCTGTTTTAGGGGTGCCATGCAGAGGCTGCTCCTCAGCACCACTCCTGGATGAAGCCACAGGGAGCCAGAACCCCTGGGGGCCCTTGAGGAGAGGTGAGGGTGGCTGGAGGCCAGCAGAGCCGTGGGCTTGCCGGGCTCACACCCGCAGTGGAAGAAGGCCACGCCAAGCTGTGCTGCTCCCACGGCTGTGAGAACATGCTGGCTATCCCAGACACAAGAAACTCATTTCCTGCAATGGGCAGGGAGGCCCTGCGTCTCAATTGTATGCAGCTGAGTTATGGCACATACCTACTTTTCCAGAGTTTTAAATGGAAATAAATGTATGTCACTGTGGTTAGATGTGATGTATGAAAGGGTGAGGGTCTCTGCTTGATCCATCTCTCATTGCTGTGGTGCCAACCAGGGCTCTGATGGCTATGCTAGAAATGAGCTCCCCCGGAATGTTCAACTGCAGCTCAGCAAAAAATTTTCTAGCACAATTTATTTGCTTCACAAACTTGAAATTTTTAGCCTGGCTCTTGAAGGATATCTGGAAATGGACAGTTCGGGGAGAATGATGAGACACTGATGTGCTGGCTTTCATGTCTTTCCAATGGCCACTGGGCTACTGCTCCTCAGGAGTCTCAGCGCCGGGCAGGTCCCTGGATTCAAGCCAGAGGAGGGATGGTGTGCTGCAGCCACACTGCGATGGAGCACCTTGCTTAGGCTCACCTTTGTTAATGGAAAGCAGGGATGGTGGAGAAGATCTAATAGAGACACTGACCAGGCAGAAATATATTAAAAATCAAAACTGATGGAAAAGTGAAGTAGCAAGTTGTCCCACAGTACCTACCAACTTCATCTGAAATACCATGAATACCAATTATTACCCTCTTTACCACTAGTTTACTCTCAGTTATTCACACCAACAAAATAAGGTGTTTTAACAACACATAGATAAAGAGTGGACCCTCATGTGCATACTGGGGACAGTCATGCCAGCCTCACAGCAATGCTTGCTTGGCTTTAGCACTCCTGTCCTGAATCATTGTGGTGCTTTGTTGACACAGAACTACTCCTGACTCCAGG